TGTGTGGGGTGTGTGGGGTGGGGGTGTAGTGTGGGGTGTGTGTGGGGTGTGTGGGGGGTGGGGTGGGGTTGTGGGGGTGGTAGTGTGTGGGGTGTGTTGTTGGGGTTGTGTGTGGGTGTGTGTGGGGGTGTGGTGTGTTTTGGTGGGGTGTGTTTTGTAGTGTGGGGGTGTAGTGTGTGTTTGTGTGTGTGTGGGGTTTTTGTGGTGTGGGGTAGTGTGGGGTGTGGGGTGGGGTGGGGTGTGTGTTGTGTGGGGGTGTGTAGGGGTGTGTGTGTGGGGGGTGTGGTGTGTGTGGGGTGTGTGTGGGGTGTGTGTTTTGGGTGTGTGTGTGGTGTGTAGGGGTGGGGATGGGGTTGTGTGTGTTTTGTTTTGGGTGTGTTGTGTGGTGTGTGGGGTGGGGTTGTGTGTGGGGGTGTTTTGGGGTTTTGTGTGTTGTGTGGTGGTGTGTGTGTGTTTTTGGGGTTGTGTGTGTGGTTTTGTTTTGGGGTGTGTGGTGGGGGGGGTGTGGGGGGTGTGTGTGGTTAATTTTGTTTGGGGGGTGTTGTGGTTGGTGTGTGGTGTGGTGTGTGTGGTGTGTGTAGTGGTGTGTGTGTGTGTGTGGGGTTGTGTGTGTGTGTTGTGGGGGTGTGGGGGTTTGTGTATTTTGGTGGGGGGGTGGGGGGGTTTGGGTGTGTAGGGTGTGGGTTGGGGTTTTGGGGTGTGGTGTGTATTTGGTTGGGGGGAGGTTTTGGGAAGGGGGGGTGGGGTTTTGGTAGTGGGGGTTGGGGGGTGTAGAGGGGTGTTTTTTGTTAAAGGTGGGGGTGTGTGTGGGGGATTGTGTGTAGGGGGGGTGTGTAGGGTTTTTGTGGGGGTTGTAGTGTTTTTGTGTTTTGGGGGTTTTGGGGGGTGGGTAGTGGGGTGGGTGGGGGGTGTGTGTGTTTTAGTGTGTGTGGGTAGGTGTGTGAGTTATTGGGTGTTTTTGGGGGGTGGGGGGTGTAGGGGGGGTGTTTTGTGGTGTGTGTATGTGTGTTTGGGTGGGGGTAGGGTGGTATTTGGGGGTAGTGGGGGGGAAGGTGTGTATTTTGTGTGTGTGGGGGGGGGGGTGTGGGGTGGGGTGTAGTGGTTTGGGGGGGGTGTGTGGGGGTTGGTGTGTGGTTTGGGGGGGTGTGTGTGTGTTGTTTTTTGTGGGGTGTTGGGGTAGTGTGTGTGGGGTTGTGTGGGGGGTTGTGTGTGTGTGTAGTGGGGGGGTTTTTATTTTGTGGGGGGTGGTGTTGGGGTGGGGGTTGTTGTGGGGGGTGTGTGTTTTGGATTGGGGGTGTGAATTTGGGGGGTGTTGTGTGTGTGTGTGTGTGTGTTTTGTAGTGTGTGTGGGGTTGTGGGGTGTGTGTTTTTTGTGGGGGTGTGTGTGTGTGTTTTTTGGGGGGTTGTGTTTTAGTGGGGGGGGGGTGGGGGGTGTGTGGTGGGTGTGGGGAGTTGTGTGGGGGTGTGTGTGTGTGTTTTGTGTGGGGGGTTTGGTGGGGGTAGTGTGGGGTTTTGTGTGGGGTAGTGTGTGTGTGTGTAGTTTTGTGTGGGGTGGGGGGGTGGGGTGTGTGTGTGTAGGGGGGGTGGGGTGTGTGTGTAGTGTGGGGGGGGGGTGTGTGTAGGGGGGGGTTTGGGGGGTGTGTTTTGGGGGGTTTTTGGGGGTGGGGGTTTTGTGGGGGTGGGTAGGTGTGATGTGTGTGGGTAGTGGGGGGGGGTGTGGTGTCGAGGGGTGTGTGGGGTTTGTGTTTTATGGGGGGTATGTGTGGGGGGTTGGGTGTGTATTTGTTGTTTTTAGTGTGGGGTTTTTGGGTTTTTAGGTGTTTTTGGGTAAAAGGGGGGTATTTTGGGGTGGGGTTGGGTAATGTGGGTTTGGGTTTTAAGGGGGGTTGGGGGTTATTTTAATGTGTGTGTGTATTTTTAAGGGTGTGTGGTTTGGGGGTAAGGGTTTGGGGGGTTAGGGGGGGTTTTAATGGGTTTTTGGGGGGGTGTGGGGGGTGGGGGGAAAGGGTTTTGTGTGTTGGTGTGTAAGGTGGTGGGGGTGTGTAAATGGGTTGGGGGTGTGTGTAAGGGGTGTTTTGGGGTGGGGGTTTTAATTTGTGTGTTTTGGTGTGTGTGTTTTGGTGTGTGGTTTTTAATTTTTTTGGTGTTGTTTTTAATTGGGTAGTGTGTTTTTGTTTGTAAGAATGTTTTAAACCGGTTGTGGTGTTTTGGGGTTTTTGTTTGTGTGTGTTTTGGTTGGGGTGTGGGGTGTGGGGTAATGTGTGTGTGTGTGTAATGTGTGTGTGGTTTTAATGTGTGTGTGTGGTTTTGTGTAATTGTGTGTTTTGGGGTTGGGGGGATGTGTGTGTGTTTTAATGTGTGTGTTTTGGTGGGGGGGGTGTGGTGTGTGTGGAAATTGGGGTTGTGAAATTTTTTGTGTGTGTGTGGGGTAAAGTGGGGTGTGTGGGGGTTTTGTGTGGGGGTTTTTGTGGGGGGTTTTTGTGTTTTTTTGTGTGTGTGTATTGTGTTGTTTTTGTGTGTAATGGGGTGTGTGGATGTGAAATTGGGGTTTGTTTTGTGTGGAAATGTGGGTTTGGGGGTGTTTTGTTTTTGTGTGTGGTGTGTGTAGTGTGTGTGATGTGTGATGTGTGGGTTTTTGTGTGTGGTTGTGTGTGGGGTGTGGGGGTGTTGTGTGTGTGTGTGTTTTTGTGTTTTTTAATGGGGTGTGTGGGGTGTAATGGGGTTTTGGGGTGGGGTGAAATTTGTGTTTTGTGTGTGTAATGTGTGTGTGTGTATTTTTAATTTGTTGTGTGTGTGGGTGTGTGTGTGTGTGTGTTTTTTAATTTGGGGTTTTTAATGTTTTAATTTTTGTGGGGTTTTGGGTGTGTGGGGTTGTTTGTGTGTGTTGGGGTGTGTGTTTTTGGGGTTGTGTGTGTGTGTGTAATGTGTGTGGGGGTAATGTGGTGTTTTTGGGGGGTGGGGTGGGGTGTTTGTGTGTGTGTGTAAGGGGTTGTGTGTGTAGGGGTTAAAGGGGTGTGGTGGGGTTGTTTGGGGTGTTTTTAATTTGTGGGGGTGTGTGAAATGTGGGGTGTTTTGGGGGTTTGTGTGTGGGGTGTGTGTGTGTGTGTGTGTGTGAATGTGTGTGTTTGTGTGTGTGTGTTGTGTGTGTGTGTTTTGTGGGGTTTTTAATGGGGTGTGTGTGTTGTTTTGTGTGTGTGTGTGTGTGGGGGGATGGGGGTTTTGGGGATGTGTGTTGTGTGTGAAATGTGTTTTGTGGGGGTGTTTTGTGTGAAATGGTGTGTGTGTGTGTATTTGTGTGGGGGTGTGTAATGTGTGTGTTGTTGTGATGTGTGGGGGAATATGTGTTGTGTGTTGTGTGTGGTGGGGGGGGGGGAGGGGGGTGAGGGGTGGAAGGTTGTGGGAAAATTTAAGAAAATCGAATTTTTTGGGTGAAAGTTTTTCTTTTATAGCTCTGTTGTGTAAAAAATAAAGGAAAAGTTTTTATAGGGGGTAGGAGATTTGGAATGTAAAATATAATATGATAGAATTTTAAATGGACTTTTTTTCAAAAAATTGTCATTATAATTACATGGAAACCCCTATAAGATTATCCAATTTTAAACCCTATTTTAATTTATTATTAAGTTATTAATTTAAAGTTTTGATGTGTTAAAATTTTAAGAAAGAGAATTATTAAAGGGGGTTTTGGGTTTACAATTTTAAAGGAAGAGAAGAAAGTTGCCTAGGGCCCCAAAATTCCCATTCCCCCAAAAGTTAAAATAAATAAGGTTTTTTAATTTTACAATTGGGTTAACATAAATGGATTAACAATACCATATTTTAGAAAGGGGATAATAAGCTGTAAAGGAATTTTTTTGGAATTTTTAAGAGAAAGTGAATTTGGAAAAATGGGGGTTTTGGTGGGGGAAAAGTTTAAAATAAAGAAACCCAGGGAATTATATTTTTCTTCCTTTTTCACCAAAGACTGCAAGAAAAGAACCCTTCAGGTCATAAATTCATGATTCCTAACAAAATTATAATCTTTCCCTGCAACCAGGTTGCACTGAACGTCTCAAAGGTACTCCAACAAGCTAACACTTACTTTCATCACAACCAGCACATGCATAAAAGGTTTAAGACAAAGCTGAACCAATCTGTGGAGGCTGTGACAGAACTTGTCTGTGAAACAGCAAGAACCCTCAAAACACGTCTCAATGAACATAAACACGTAGGAATAACAACTTGAACAATGCCTGCATACAACACTGGAATTCCACCTTGTGATTAATGAATGCAGACAAATGCTTTGAATCATCCCTAATTGTCATCTCTAACAAACAGAATAAAGACAGCTTTGCCACCTATGAAGCATTAGCAAGAGTTCTTAAAACAAACCCCGCCATGATATAGCTACTACTACCACTAATACTACTACCTACAGCTATTATAATATGCTTTTACATTTCACTCTATTATCTATACATATATCCTGTCCCCCCCCCCCCCATATTGTTTGCAACGGCTTGACAAAGCTCCTGGAGAGCGAAGCCTTGCTACAATAAAATGTCACATTAGTTGCACGTGTGTCCTTTTACCTAATACAGTCAATAATTTCACGAACATTATTAGTGTGCGTGAGTGTGCGCATGCGTGTGTGAATGTGTGCACACATGCCAGCCTGCCCAAGTTTGATGCAGAAAACTTCAGAACAGCTAACAGTTTTTAGATAATATGCTAATTTCATTATGAAAATTCATTGACAGCAAAAACTTTGATTGCTACTATGTTATCTGCAACAAATGGGAAGGGCCAAAATTATTACCAGATCTGGAGATAAAGAACCAAGCAAAAATTGGTTATAACTCAGCAGAGGCACCCAATAAACCTGGATATGAACTGAAAAAATGGGGGCATAATTTATCTGCTGAGAAAAAATAAAATATTGAATGAGCATAATGGAGAATCACAGGAAGTCTTATGCCAACAGAGATCAATACTGAACAGTGGGGGTTAAAAACAAATACATCCCAATTCCTCTTCATTTCACTAGTTTGTAAGAAAAGACAGAATTTGCATACAGAGCAAACTGTAAGAAAGGTATACCTGACATATCTGAGAAGACAAACAGAATAAGGAAGCAAAACAAAGGTTTAATGCAGTAAATATAATTATGATGTCCAAAGAATTCATATAGAAAATGGAATGCAATAATATGAATATTATATTATCTGTGATAGCTGCTGCTTGTCCCAACCACTAGCAAATACTTGTCCAAATAAATTTTGTGACTCCTACTAAAAATTTTGAACTGAGCCTGGCAAGTATAAAAAAAAATTAGGACAATTGTACTAAATAAAAAAAATTAAATAACTAAAGTAACTTCTGATTTAAGCCAGGCACAGTTCAAAAGATTTGTCACTACTGCACACAGCAATGCATTTAGGAAATGCCAAGGTACATAAATGCACATGTGAATTATTCATACACAACTTTTTGAAATAATTTACGATATTTCTAGAAATTCAACTAATTTGGCTGTGCACTTAAAATAGTACATCTTACCCTATCACTTATCACATTCATGATTCACCCATTATGCATAAAATGTACCTCTTAAGCATCTCTATTTGAAGGTGTTGTACATAATGGAAAAACTGCAATGCAAGAATCAAACTCTTAATATATTTTTCAGACTAGAGATTTTCAAAAACACAAAAAACAAAACAGATATGATACAATAAACTTTTGCCCTGAAATAGCTCACATCACAGAGTTCACTGAACACACCCAAAAACCATCCTAATTTAGCACCATTATAAACTCGGTAACCTACCGATGGTGACTGGGAGATTTTGTTCAACTAAGTCATTTGGTAAACCAATTGGAAGTCCTTTTTAACCTTTTTTTTTTTTTTTTAGTTATACACAGGGTCATACAATTAGCCAATGATCATGTTGAGCTTTCATCTATACCTTCAATTTCTCTTCAGTTGAATTCAGCCCACTAGAAGTCACATCTAAAACAAAACTTTAAAGGCAGCCACGAAAACTTTGAAACTTGTGTACAGTGGATACAAAATGTGGACAATACAATTACTCCCACGCTTAAAAAACTTTGGCCCTTAGTTTTTGAGGTTTATTCTTTTTGAGGAACAATTGAGGTGGCTGAAGCCTCCCAACAGACTTGACCATTGCATCCAACACCGATTATTTTCAAGCTCAGAGAAACACACGTTTGACAATCAGAAGATGAATACATAAATGTTACATCAAATTAACAGGTTACTGATTCCACTATAATCATAAACTGCATGATGGGACTGACAAACAGGATACCCTATCTAATGACAGTCTAATGTCTTTAAAATGTATGTCATAATTAAAACAAAGGATATGAAGATTTGATGGCAGAAAGTACTTGAATAGGTCTAAGAAAATAATAAAATGATATGAGAAAAGAGCTGTTGCTTTTCCATTATTTAAAGATGACTACCAAACCCATAACATGACCAAAAACTTTTAACTAAATTTTCAATAACCTTTTTCCTCTCAAATTTAACCTTTTAATACATCACTTCTGAAGCCTAAATATCAACAACTGGTTAAGATCATGACAAATAAATTTTTCACAGCCCAGTTGGAATTATAATGACTTGAGATGCAGATTGGCCAGCAAAACAATGACTTAAATAACATTAAATTTTTAGCATTGAAATGCTCGAGACTACCTCAAATCCAACCCTGGGGACCTAATGACAGTCACCAAGAACACAAAATGCACATTCACAGGACTTACACTTGGATAACTGATTATGGAAAGCAGTAAAGAAATTCAACTATGCTCTCCAGGATCTACTGATAGCAAATAGGCAATGAAATGTGTACCACAACTACTGGATTAGGAACACCAATAAACACTTCCAACCTATTTTACAGTGAAATACAGATGGCAATATTAACTGGTGATTTCCTTCCAGTAGTAACAAGCTGGTATGAAAAGTGGCTCACAAGTGTACTGTTGTGAAATGTGTAAAGCAATAAATACAACAATTTTTCAAACCTAATGGGCTGGAGAGCTCTGCCAAGACTTCCAGGTATCCATGTGGGCTTGAGTCAGCCAGCAGAGAAGAAACAATGTGTGATGAAGGGAATGGGATAGATGTTGCTCAAAGAAGTGAATCTCAAGACCCCAGGGAGTGTGATACAGTGCCAGCCTCTGGCATAGCAGGTATTACATTGTGACATGGCAGAGCTGTTCAATAAAGGCTCAGCCTTCGGAGGTGTTTAGTTGTGTCATTCATCACAGAGAAACATAGATGACATTGGGGACATCGGTGGAGGAGAGCCGAGGATAGGCCAGTCCAAACACAGGACGGCAGGTAGCAGGTGAATCCTGTGTGGAGCCAGCAGTCACCAAGGCCTGTGACAGCGCATATCCTGCACCCGTTTGTTGTGCTTATGGCTTGAAGTTACTCACAGCCAACACAACCCAGAAATGGGGCCTCACAACACTGCCACACCCTGCACTTTGGATTTTACCAATGTTCACACATCCAGAACATGATTAAGAAAATATAACACTTTATAAATATTCCCAGGCATGTCTATGTCCAGACAACTGTCCCAGGCAGCTATCACAGGCAGGCCAACACTATGTGTCACTCATGAAGGAATTCTGTGCCTTCATTTCTTCAAGTTCTCTCTTCTGAGCACGTAGAAAAAGTATCCTGAAACAGGAAAGTTCAAACATTATAAATGTGCTGGCAAATGTTATACTTTTTGTAGTATTTCTTAAAATATGCATTTCTTCTATTAAATGTAATTAGAAGGACTTGCAATATACATACCATTTTCAAATAAGGGTGACCAGTAACCAAAGTATTAAAGGCTTGTGAAGATTACTACAATTTACATCACTTCTCTTAACCCTTTCAGGGTTTCTGACGTACTAGTACGGCTTACGCACCAGGGTTTTTGACGTACTAGTATGCCTAAATTCTAGCGCCCTCAAATCTAGCGAGAGAAAGCTGGTAGGCCTACATATGAAAGAATGGGTCTATGTGGTCAGTGTGCACAGTATAAAAAAAAATCTCGCAGCACACAGCGCGTAATGCAGGGAAAAAAAAAAATGACCGTGTTTTTGGTTTAAAACAGCGATTTTGCACTGTATTTTCGTATGGTATTTATGGTTGTATTCTAGTTTTCCTGGTCTTATTTTATAGAAGACATATTACAGAAATTGAGATGATTTTGATTGGTTTCACAATGAAAAACACCTTGAAATTGAGCTCAAAGTAGCAGAAATGTTCGATTTTTGCCAAAGTTCAAAAGTAAACAAATCATGCCACGCGTCCAATACATGTCAACTGGTGAATCTAATATTCCTTCACAAGTGCGCTGGTATTATTTATACCATTTCTACACTAATACAGTAGTCTGCATAACAGCAAATCTTCTATTTTTTGTGAGAATAAAAATTCAAAATGGAAAGCAAGAGAAATGTAAGAGGGGCATGGGGATGTGACTAATGAACAGAAGAAATGTTATTTTAGTGCCAGGAATGTCTTTCTTGTTTATTCTGGACCCTATTTGGAAATTGGAATCTTGAAATTTGTGTGAAATTGGCCAAATTGCTAAATTCTGACCACTGTATTGGATAGTTGAAATCGGTAAATGGGTGGTTTCTTGTATTCATTCGATAGAAAAAGCGGAGTTCTAGCGAAATACATAGTTATGATTTTTGTCGACTAGTACACTGCAATTGACCGAAAATAGGGCTCAAAGTGGGCAAAATCGCCGATGCATAAAAACAGTTGAGACCGCTGACTTCGCGAGAGCATAATTCCCTAAGTTTTCCATCAAATTTCATACTGTTGGTGTCATTATGATCGGGAAAAGATTCTATCTTTTCATAAGAAAAAATTATTATTTTTTTTTTAAATTTTGGCGACCCTGAGAACAAGTCTCAGAGAGCCTGGCGACCCTCAAAGGGTTAATATTAATGTGTGAGAGGTAAGTGGCAGGGTGTTTATTGAATAAAATCAGAATGGCACACCACCATTCTCTAACTTGGCACTTAAAGCAAGAGGCTTACGACTCCTCTTTTTATCACAGCTAAGCTTAGACGCCATTGTCAATGCGAGCCAACTAGTTAACGAAAGAGTAAACGAGAGAGAGAGAACGAGATACAGAGTTCAGACAATGTAAGAACACAAACTGAACAGGTAGTGGGCGATCACTTTGTCAGGCGAAATAAATGCGTATTAATGTGTGTCTGCTTTTAGTTCATTCACGTACGTTTGTAAGAGTTTGTAAAACTTTTACCTCACAATATTTTTTTTATAATAATAATTACCTCACAATACAAATACTCTTAGATTATGTACAAGTTGCGCAAGTTAGTACAGAATAAACAAACAGCGATACACCCATTCTCATGCAACACCATTTTTAGAGTGATTGATGATGATGATATCATCATGATAAAAAAGTGCTAAACCCATAAGGGCCATGAATTGCTATATATAGAGTGAAGGCATATGAAAGGAATATTTTTCTACAGGTATCCCCTAGTGTTTGACTAGAGAAAACGTAATTCTTCCGACACTACCTACACAGCTGCTTTGTAAACAAATCTCATATTTACGTCAATTTTTATTCTGTGAGTGTATGTATCATGTTTATATACTATGTAACGTGTTTCTTATATAATTTTGAGGAAAATATCATAGATGGATTAATGAAAATGTCTATATTAATGTTAAATAAAGACATTTAATGTGCCCAAGAGTGATGATTATTACGTACTATTGGCGTCATGAGTAGAGACTCTTAGCGATTTTTATGTGTACCTGCACACCAGCACAGTGTGTAAGTATATTTGGGTATAGGTACACATAAGTATAATTATCCGAGTACAGTGGTCCCTCAATAATCGTCCATAATCCGTTCCTGGAAGTGGGACTATTATCGAAATGGACGATTTTCGAATCAATTTTCCCCATAAGAAATAATGTAAATCCAATTAATTCGTTCCAGACACCCAGAAGTATCAACAACAATTTTTTTTTTTACCTAAAAGATAGATTTACATGCACAAAAGAATGAACATTCAACATGACAGTTACCTTTATTGAAGGCTGTTGTTGACGAATGGAAGACAGGGAGGAGGAGAGAGGATAGAGAGGTTATTTGGAAGGGGAATCCCCCTCCATAAGGACTCTAGGGCACTAATAAAATGTATAAATGAACATTGGTAATAGGGGTAGTTGATGAGTGGAACTGTCTGCCTAGTAGGGTGATTGAAGCTAAAGCATTGGGTAGTTTCAAATTTAGGTTGGATAAATACACGAGTGAGAGGGGTTGGATTTGAGTCGGACTTGCACCTGAGCTTATTGCTTGGGTAGCATTTGTTCTGTTAGTGGGTTGGATTTGTGAAGGACTGGCCTAGTATGGGCCAAGAAGCTTATTGCAGTGTTCCTCCTTTCCAATGTTCTAAAAGCTATGGCTTGGGTAATTTCAAATTTAGGTTGGATAAATACACGAGTGAAAGGGGTTGGATTTGAGTCGGACTTGCACCTGAGTTTATTGCTTGGGTAGCATTTGTTCTGTTAGTGGGTTGGATTTGTGAAGGACCAGCCTAGTATGGGCCAGCAGGCCTGTTCCAGTGTTCCTACTTTCTTAAGTTCTTATTTAACATCACACTTACCAGTAGGGTGATCGAGGCTAGGACCTTGGGTAGCTTCAAGAAGAGATTGGACAAATATATAAGTTGGAGGAGCTGAGTTTGATTTGTGTCATTGGGTACGGGAGTAAATTCTTGGGTAGCTTTGGAGAGAGGTCATTTTGATAAGGACCTGCCTTGTATGGGCCAGTAGACCTGCAGTGTTCTTCCATTGTTATGTTCTTATTGGCTATTTGTTTGTGTGAGGGAGGGATGGCAAGTTTATTGTTGGAGAATATGACACTAATATCAACTCTATGGCTTATTTATCTATCAGAATTCAACTAATATGACATAAACAATATTAATAACATAGAAACATGGAATATACTGTAGAATGAATAAAATAAGTCATTACGTATGTCACGAGAGGTGTTGTGTTGTGTTGTTGTTGGGTATATAAGGGCCACTGAGTGTAAGCCGTCCATAATGGTGGTGAGGCGGTGGTGGTTTTTGTAGCCCTATATAACTCCAACAACATTGGAGGAGTTGGTAGAATCGCTGAATCACTAAAGAAGGAACCCTCTACCACCATCACTACGACCTTCTACCACTATTACAACTGTTACCACCATCACTACTACCTTCTACCACCATCACTACCACCAAAGAAAGCTTCTAGTGCCAGCCTTTGGTAAAGAATGTGAGAAACACATAATTTATGAAAAAAGATTGTAGAAAAATGTAAAGATGGTGGTGGTAGAGTGGAAGCAGTTGCGATAGTGGTTGATGAACATAAGAACATAAGAAAGGAGGATCACTGCAGTAGGCCTGTTGGCCCATGCTCGGCAGGTCCTTTACATTTCATCCCACTAACGAAACATTTTCCCAACCCAGTCCTCAATGCTACCCAAGAAATAAGCTCTGATAACTCTATCCACTCATTTGGGACTTGCAAATGAGTGGATAGAGTTATCAGAGCTTATTTCTCGGGTAGCATTGAGAACTGGGTTGGGAAAATGTTTCGTTAGTGGGATGAATTGTAAAGGACCTGCCAAGCATGGGCCAACAGGCCTGCTGCAGTGATCCTCCTTTATGTTCATCAACCACTATCAACTGCATCCACTCTACCACCACCATCTTTGTATTTTTCTACAAACTTTTTCATAAATTATGTGTTTCTCACATTCTTTACCAAAGGGCTGGCACTAGAAGCTTTATTTGGAGCCATGGTAGCTTATTTAGCACTTGCAAGCACTAAAATCAATGGAATATTATGAAATATTTCATAGGAGCATGTGAGGGGACCGTCACTCACTGGTAAACAATGGCACACTGGCTGGGAAGGAAAGGCCGAGGCGGCTCAGAGCGTGAGTACGCGTCCAGGACGAAGGACTATTAGCGAGTTACCGGACCATTTGCGAGCCAATATTTTGACGAAAAAACAGGACTATTTCCGAAATGGATGACTTTCAGGCCGGACGATTATTGAGGGACCACTGTACATATCAAATATGTAATAACTGTAAAATAGGCTTCTTCAGTCGAGTACAGCAAAGTTGACTGAAGAAGCCTACTGTGAAGGCGAAACGTTTCGAAATAAAGATACCTAACTGTTGCATATGTGTCTTACCTAAACAACCTGTCGGTATTTTATACCATTTTATTGTTCAAACTGTAAAATACTTGATTATTATTATAATAAAAAAGAAGCGCTAAGCCACAAGGGCTATACAGCGCTGCAGGGTAGGGAAGGAAGTGAGGGTATTGGGCGGCAGAAGGGAGGAGGGATGATCAGTAGGTTACAGAAAACAGCGGGGCAGGGGATAGTATGGGGGTAGAGGGTAGCAAGAGATTGAGGTAGAAAGGGCTGAAGGTATCAGAATTTGTGAAGTCAGTCAGTTGTTGTCAAAAAGTCAATGAGAGAGTCCGGATGAAAGGTGGGTCCATCAGCAAGACGGGAAGGTAAAGAGAGAGCAGCGGAGTGAAGACGACGACGGAGGTAAATTCTGCGTGCTCGTTGATAAAGCGAGCAGTCTAACAGAATGTGGCTGACTGATAATG